CTAAAAGAATCTACTCATTTTACATGTTTTGCAACTTTTTACTAGAAAACCGTTCCTCAACCCACAAAACTGGTAAAACATTGAGTCAAATTTAAGAGAGCACAAAACAAAATGGCTTTCTCTTTGTAAACTTTTTACTCGAGAAATTTGGTCGAGTAAAAATGGTAAACAGGAATGCTTACTTCTGATTGGCTGTTATGTTGATTTTGAAGTATTGCCACCTAATTTTGGCACTATTTACTAGATTTGCGTTCCCGAACTTTTCAAATTATTTTGTACTCTGAGAGCAATTTTGAAATGTTTCCCTTTTACTAGATTTTCTATTAAAAAAGTACTGGAACAGACTAACTATTTACTACAAAGTCAATACTATTTTTCTTAGAGTTTTTGTTTCGAAATTATTGGATATGGTCACCCTATTCAGATTTCTATCCATCAATATTTTTGCATATAAAAAGCCCGTTGCATTACCATCAAATTAAAATAGTCTACATCAATAGTCGAACTAAAGAGTACAAAAAAAAATTATCAAAAAAAAAAAAAAAAATAGCCACCATGAATTCCCACGAACATCGTGAAGCATTGGAGACATTTTATAAAAAACAATCATGGATATTTCGCCTGTTCGCCCAATTGAAATTATCGGATTCGGCTTCGGAACGTTTTCGCTTATTACATCGTATCTATTTCTATTACATTCTAATCTGTTGGGTACTCTCGTTCGATCTTAGCTGTTTGATACAATTTATTTCGAACATTACCGATTTGAATGAAGTGATTAAAGTGTTCTATATTTTTGCCACCGCTATGGGAGTATTTGCCAAATTCATGACAATTAAATTGAAAAATAATCTGTATGCGGAATTAATTGAAATTATGCATGATCCGAAGTATCGACCTGTTAACACCAGGGAGGTTCTGCTATTTCGCCAATCTCAAAGTTTAGCACGTACTGTGCGTAATTTTTATACAACCATATCGTTGTGTGCCCTGAATGCTTTGCTATTTACCCAATATATTATTGATACCTCCCAGCTACCGATGTCGATATATAATCCATTTAATACGGACACAAAGCTACGTTATGTCCTGGTGTATATTTACCAGTATTGTGCCGTATCGGTTTGTTGTTATACAAATATTGCATTTGACTCGATATCGGCATCGTTTATGATTCATGCCAAGGGTCAGTTGGATATCCTGTGTGATCGTTTGGAACATTTGGGCACCGATTATGAGAGTAGTGATGCGAATATTGCGGTACAGTTGAAGAATTGTGTTAAATACTATAGCGATATTATACGAATTGTTAAAATTGCTGAGGAGTTAATAAGTTTGCCCATATCGGTACAAATTGCATGTTCCGTCTTGGTATTGGTGGCTAATTTTTATGCTATGTCTTTTGTAAGTATGGGGGAATTGGCGGTGGAATTATTTTTTTAAACTAGTAAAAAAGTTAACCGGGCCGGACTTATATCCTCCATCATGAGATGCACATTCAAAATACCTAAAATTGGTCGAAACACTTATATGCCAGACACGTCTTCGTAAATTATCTACCAGGAGGACCTTCAAAATACTTAAAATAGTGTCGAATCATTATATGGGAGCTAAGTAGTCTTGGACAATCTCGTTCAGTTCAGTGATCGAACAAACTAGATCATATTTTAAAAGTGAACTAGGTCCTTCACCTCGTTCAGTTGTTCATATCGTTCAAATTGTTAATCAGTTCAATTAGCATGGCAGCGAATTCCATTTAAGTTCTGGCAGTTCAATCAACGGGGAGAAAGATTACCTTTAACAATCATTGGAAGGACTTTCCTATATATTATCACCACTTTTTAATGGGTGGTAGTCGATGGAATAACACCGTTATATTCGGATGCACACTTGTTTGCGCTACAGTTGTTGCTCCGGACACCTTTGTCTCTTTTCCGTGGTTTCCACCTCCAAGGTTGTCTATGGGGGTGCTTTGCTATTAAATGTCGCTACATATAGTTACTGACCCTCCAGCTATACGTAAAACATTACTGCAGCATTTGATCTTTTAACCACTGCATTCCATTATATGGGATAAGAATATAACACGTACCTCCATTGCATTTTGTAATCAAAATCGTTCAGTGAACGACAATAATAAAAACTGAACTATGTCGTCCAATGGACTGACTCGTTCAATTTAACTAGGTCGTTCACTAAGGACACAGGACTAGATCTAAGAACCATAAATATAAATAGAACCATGCATATACATACAATTGTTCGGGTTATACGGTATGCTACGTCAAAACGTAATCCTATATTTTAAATTTTCTTCGAAGTTTTTTTTTATGCACCAAATTAGACCCACATCAGTTGGAAAATACCTTAAATCAATACATCCTATAGAGAAAAAATATCAGCTAAAAATATATATTTTTTCTCCTTTCGCCACAGCTTTCAGATTTTGCCAATTTTATCAAGTTCCTCATCTATCAACTGTGTATGCTATCGCAAATCTACATTCTTCTTTATTTTCCCAGTGAAGTTACGGCGAAAAGTGAAGAAGTTCCCTATTATTTGTATTGCTCGAAGTGGGCCAACTGGAATCCATCAAATCGTAAATTGACGCTATTGATGATGACACGATTCGATATACCCATACGTGTCAAATCTATTAATCCTACCTACACTTTTAATTTGGCGGCATTCACTTCGGTAATTCTTTTAAGGATAACTTTAATATTTTAAATACTTTTTTTTTCTTTATTTCCTGCAGATTGTAAACTGTTCCTATAGTTATTATGCCCTGCTAAAGAGAATCAACAATTAATTACAACCAACAGGATGTTGGATACAATGACTTATTAAAAATATATATGTATTTTAATGATTTAAAAAAATAAGATCATTATAACGATTTAAATAAAATAAATATGCAGGTCGATTATGCGGCAAAAACATACATTTTCGATTGTTTTGTACCTTATGATCGGGTCATAATTGTAGCCAGTAGAGCGACCAGAAAATTATTATTAAAATAACACACAATAATACAAAGTAGTATAACTTGAGGTGAGGTCGTTTTTCATTCATCATGTGCAATTCTTGGCTACTGCAAGAATCTACTAATTTTTACAATTTTCTTCGATATCATAAAGCTATAGCCAACTATATAAACACAATTTCTGAAGAATTCCACTCACTGGAAAATTCCGACAGTTAACACTTTACTTTTTAATAATTGCTTAAATAACTGATCTCTTCCTGTGCAGTGGAATATTGCTAAGATCATACCAGTAAAGAAGAAGCCTAGCAGGATTTCTCCAGAAGAATTTCGCCCAATTTCCTTAGTTTCATTCTACATGAAAAGCTGGAAAACGAATCCTGTTTCCGATATAACCAGTCGCTTAAGGCAGAAAGTATGTACCGTTGCGATTTCATTAGATATTCAGAAGGCGTTTGATTCGTTATATCATAAAAGAATAATCTACAAATTAACATAGCATGGTGTTGATCCGTTTTTAATCAAAATGTTTCAAAGTTTTTTGAGTAATAGAAAATTATCTGTGATTATCAACGACTCCATGTCAAACTTTGGGGCTAATAAAAGTGGTGTACCCCAAGGCAGCGTTCTGTCACCATTCCTATTCAATTTGTTCCTGCACGATTTCCCTCATGAGTCCGAAAATTCTAAGGCTATTATATATGCAGATGATTGCCTCATTTATAGTCACCACAACTCACCAAGAAATGCTCTCATTAATGCGGCTTATCATCTAGATATTATTAGTGAGTATTATAACACCTGGGAAATATCCATAAACGCGGCAAAGTCGGAGGCAATTTGCATCAGAAACGCTTCAGAAAAATGCAACAGAAGTGTAGTGTCTGAATCCAAGACATTACAGATCTCTCAATGGTGTAGAAATTCCATTTATTAATACCTTAAAATGCGTTCTGTCACCATTCCTATTCAATTTGTTCCTGCACGATTTCCCTCATGAGCCCGAAAATTCTAAGGCTATTATATATGCAGATGATTGCCTCATTTATAGTCACCACAACTCACCAAGAAATGCTCTCATTAATGCGGCTTATCATCTAGATATTATTAGTGAGTATTATAACACCTGGGAAATATCCATAAACGCGGCAAAGTCGGAGGCAATTTGCATCAGAAACGCTTCAGAAAAATGCCACAGAAGTGTAGTGTCTGAATCCAAGACATTACAGATCTCTCTCAATGGTGTAGAAATTCTATTTAGGAATACCTCAAAATGCTTGGGAATTAATATAAATAAACTTTATTAAATTTAATGATCACGCCAGAGCCTCATTGAAGAAAGCGAAAAAGGCAGCTGGTCGTTTTTCATTAATCATGTGCAATACTTGGTTACTGCAAGAATCTACTAATTTTTACTATTTTCTTCGATATCATAAAGGACAAATTGTTATCGTAGTAAAAATTTGTACATTTTTGCAGTTTGTGGAATAGGCCACTTATCTGCCTCAGAGTACTAAATTGCTGCTATACAAAGTTGTCATTCCAGTTCGTCTTCGGACGGCTAACAAGAAACGGATAATCACACCTACGGGCTTAAAAAATTACAACATGGCGCTGTGTTAAGCTTTCGCTTAACTTGCCACGTGTTTTATCTATCGAACTAAACGAAGAATATAAGAAAATCTCGTTACATATGGTGTATGGTCCTATACCTTCTATTTTAATAGAAAGGGGACTAGCTGGAGGAGGACCTGCCTCCAGTATTTAAAGAGAAAAAAGTTGTCATTTGCCCCATCATTTGCTATGGATTCCCAATGTATCCCAATCGAATTGTTTGAACGTAGAATCCTGAGAAAATTAAGAATTTCCAAAATCCCACTAAGCGCTTCTCAAATCATAACATTTATAGCAGTGCCAACATTTTGCCATTCTTTAGGTACGCGCGCTCTCTCTCTCTCTTAATGATAGCTGAAAGGAATATAACTTGGTCTGGATCAACTTACCTTTCTCCAGTTGGCATTTTAAATGAAAACCTTGACACCGATCCCGATCAATACACATTTCCAGATTATTTCACCAAGACCACTCCTGGGACACACCGGGGATGACTACTGATATTTTTTGTCTCAATCTATGATATATGGTCTGTTCCCGTACTGCAAGAATTTACTATTTTCGGCTTAACTCTAGTTTAGTAAAAACTATCAGATTTTTCTGAAATTTTTTCCAGAGGTAGGTATTTTTACCCTAATTATGGGGGTATCTTTTTTCTTGGGGGACGTACTCGGTTACCCTGTTATTTGACCCGGAAGTTCTGGTACGGGTACCCGGTTCTACGGATCCGGTTAATATAATATGGGCATCATTTTAAAGATTATAAAAATAGTTATAGTTAACAAATAGTCAAAAAACTGGGTTTTGGTACCCGATTACTCCTTCTAAATATTATATTTAGAAGGAGTTTCAGTCGATTAGCCGGCTTTGGCATCTGTCCATAGGAGAAAGTCTTAAATCCCCGGCCTAAGGCCGGTCACCCAGAAAGAATTCTATTTAACAACAGATTCTGTCGCGTAGCCGGTGTTGGTATCTGTCCATAGGAGAAAGTCTTAAACCCCCGGCCGAAGGCAGGCTACACAGAAAAATATTCTATTTAGAAGGAGTTTCTGTCGCGTAGCCGGTGTTGGCATCTGTCCATAAGAGAAAGCCTTAAATTCCCGGCCGAAGGCCGTTCACCCACAAAAAAATTCTATTTAACAACAGATTCTGTTGTGTAGCCGATGTTGTATCTGTCCATAGGAGAAAGTCTTAAATCCCCGGCCGAAGGCCGTCTACATAAAAAAATTCTATTTAGAAGAAGTTTCTGTCGCGTAGCCGGTGTTGGCATCTGTCCATATGAGAAAGTCTTAAATCCCCGGCCGAATCCGTTCACCCAAAAAACACCATGCTATTTAAAAGGAGATTCGGTCATGTAGAAAGATTTTCCTTGTTTTATAGGGTTCTAAGGCTGAATCTGTGGATAGGCTTCTTTTGATCCACAACAGATACAGCCACATTTCGCACCATTTTGGAAAGTGGTCTACCACTATTTTGGAAATAGTGGTCTATCATTTGAGTCTGGGTTGGAGGGGGACTATAATGGACCCAAGTTCGACTTTTAGGGAGTTTTTCAAAAAAATCGGGGACCAAAACCCATTTTTTTGACTATATCTCCAAAATGGTTTGAGATAACCCCATTACTCAATGGAAAGGTATTTTTATAACCTTTAAAATGATACCCGTTTGATATTAATTAGATATAACCGGGTACCCGTACCCGAACTTCCGGGTCAAATAACCGGGTAATCGGGAACGTCCCCCAAGAAAAAAGATATCCCCATAATTAGGGTAAAAATACCTACCTCTGGAAAATTTTTCAGAAAAATCTGATCGTTTTTAGTAAACAAGAGTTGTTCCCTATTTTCTTCGATATCATTGAGGAAAATTCGTTATCGTAGTTAAATTCTCACACAGTACCTGCATTTTTAATCTTAGCTATTTACATATATTACTTATTTCTATCTTTTAATTTTACACATCATTCCGAATGGTTCACCCTTTATTTAATATATATTGTTGACAAAAAAACATTAGCAATATAACGCAATTATTTGTTGTTTTTGTAATGTGTTTTCGACACATTGTATATCCAAGTCAAAACATTTATTAATTTCTCTCTTTCGAGATGAGCTACATGATCAAAGTTGTAATGAAAAGGAAAGTCAGAGAGATACTACATTCCCACCATTATGCGACGCGTTTCGCAGTTGGTTAAGCGGTTCATCATGCATATTGGGCAATGTGGCTTACAAATGTCGTTACTTGATAAGTTGTATTATAGTTTTGCGATATATTGTTATCATTAAGTATGTACAGTATTTTTCGGTTAATTGACCCTACGGTTAATTGGTTTCCACGCTTAATTGAACCACATGATGGGTCAAAAATATTTCATTTCATATTAAGCTGGTTCGGATAATTGGTTACTCGGTTAATTGAACAAAAATTTGTGCAAATTTTGATGTGCAATTAACCGAAAAATACTGTACAACAAATTGTAAACGAAAAGAAAGAAGACTCAATAAATTTTGTTACTCACTTACTTAAAAGTTGCTCCTTTAAGAATTCGTATAATTTAATGCACCCTTATTTTGTCAGTACACGCTTTTTGTATAGGTTGAAGCAGTTGATTTTGTTAAACGACGTATAACCGCATTATCAGTTTGGCGTAAATATGTCCACAGTATTCTATTACTTTTGTAAAATTATAATAAATATTGATTTATTTAAAATATATTTAAATATACAAACATTTTGAACATTTAACTATTTTTATCAAATGAATATTTATCGTATATTTAAAGATTTAACTTAATGCAAACGTATGACGTTCGCATTTACGCACGCAATTAGTTCAGGTGGTGCACATAAATTACCCGCTGTTTCGTGTAAGCAAGCACATTGTTGTGACAAATTGTGAAAATGCAATAAATAATCAGTCAACAATAAAATTAAATAATTTATAAAAATTCATTACATCAATAATTTAAATTAAAATACTTTTAATGTGAATTAAATAAAAACAAACTTTAAAGTGTACATTTGAAACGATGTCGTCGGTTGGTGTTGAAGCAACTGCCAGCATTTGCTTATATTGCAAGACCAAGGAGGAAACTATAGATTTTCATAATATTTTCGAAGCCGATTTGGAGGATATACAATTAACTGATTTGATTTCGAAATATTTTGGAATCTTTGTTCAGTATGAAAAGAACAAAAAGCAAGAGCTATGTGATGAATGTCTGAATCGTCTCATAGAGCTTTTTGATGTTGAAGAGCATAGCAAGGAACAGAAAGGTGGAACAGCAAATGTTAAAGCTGAGAACGTTGAGGAAGCACCTAGTCCTATCGAGGAAGAAATATACACAGGAAAAACTACAACCAAAGATATTGACATTGAATGTAATCAGTCCAATACATTGCCATCGGCAGCAGCTTCCTCTGGGTGCCAAGACGCAAATCAACAGGTGCTTTCTTTGGAAGATGTTTGCAACAGGAGTTCAAATGCTACGGCGTCAAAGGAAAACGAAGATAATACCAATTATGACGACTTGGAAAATGCATTTAACGAAAGGGAAGATAACAATTATATAGAAACAACAGGGAACATTGAAACGGCATCACATAATATATATCATGCATACGATGACGGTCGACAAAAGCCAGAATCTCCAACCAGTATCCAAGATGGTATTCAAATGCAGAAATCTCCAGTTTATGTCCAAGATTTCCAAAATAATGAGGAACATACACTTGCTGGTTATGAAACTTCCGAAGAAACTGACCAATATGAAATGCAACCAACATACGAAGATGGTGACCACAACGAAGGTACTTACATGGAAATATATCCATCAGGTGCAAATGTATTTCATTCTAATACAGATTCAACGAATGAGGAAGAAGAAGAAGACTACAACGAGGAGAGACAAATTAAACCATCGCCATTAGACATCAATAATGCTTTGGACGACAATACTCAGTCAACATTTGATGAAAGACAAGCTATCCATAATGAGAATTCATCCTCTGGACTTAATACAGATCATGAAACTAAAACGGAAGCAACTGCTTTTGGAGACAATTTGGAATATACTGACGATTCTGAAATTAATTATTATTTGATTGTCGGTAACGATGATGATACACCCCGGGAGGAAACAGAAATGCCAGACTATGAAGATTCCAATTTCCAAAATCAAGAATCTGAATCATATGCGGAATTTTGTCAAAACACTGAAAATGCTGAAGAGAATCAAAATGATGATACCTTGATTTATGTTGAAAATAATGAGGAAGGATTTGATGAACTTGGGGGCTTGGTGGAGCAACAGAATACTAATGACGAAGATGCGGCTGTTTATGAAGAGGATCTTCAAAATCAAATAATGGAAGATGGGCAAGCATCCGCTGAAGAAATGAATGTGCCTGCTGAAATTTCAAATACAAATGAGGATGTAGCAGAGTATGCTGCAGCAGAAGAATCAAATTCTTTGGATACTATGGACCTCAATGAAAATATTGATGACGAAGATTATTTTACGGAAGGTAATTTCATGATGTGCGAGCAAAAATCATCGGATGGGAGTCTTTATAGACGAGATGAGAGGGAGTCTTTATAGGCGAGCTGAAGGGAGTCTTTATAGTCGAGCTGAAGGGAGTCTTTATAGACGGCCTTAAGAGAGTCTTTATAGACGGCCTTAAGGGGGTCTTTATAGACGGCCTTAAGAGAGTCTTTATATACGAGTGGAAGGGAGTTTTTGTAAACGATCCAATTGAAGTCTTTATAGACGAACCAAATGGAGTCTTTATAGACGAGCTGAATGGAGTGTTTATAAAGAAATGGAGGGAGTCTTTATGTACGAGCGGAAATGAGTATTTATAGACTTAAGTATAGAGTTGAAGGGAGACTTTATAGATTAGTTAAATGGAGACTTTATAGACGAGCCAAAAGGCATCTTTATAGACGAATGGAAAGGATTCTTTATAGTCGAGCGGAAGGGATTTTTTCTATACGAGCGAAGGGATTCTTTCTAGACGAGTGGAAGGAATTCTTTATAGACGAGTGGAAGGGTTCTTTATAGACGATCGGGATTCTATATAGACGAGCTGAAATTTGTCTTTATAGATCAACTGAAGGGAGAATTTATGGACAAGGTGAAGGGAGTCTTTATAGTGTCGTATCTATTAAAGAACTTTAAATATATATGAATTTTAATAAAGATTCTATTTCAATTTTACACAGAAATTATTACCTCGGAAGATTATGATAAGGTGGATATCACAGAGTATCTGGATAATGTCATTGTTACAAATTTTGATGAATTACAATTAGGCTTTGAAATGGAATGTAAAGTAAGTTGATCTACTTATGATGTAATATTTTTTAATAAATGTTTTTTTATTCTTGTTAACAGTTATGCCTTTGTAAATACTCAACATTCCAAGACCTGTTACAACATTCATGCATCATTGAATTAGTGGAAGAAGAACAAGATTTCGGTTGCATTAAAGCCGATTGTAATGACATGGTTACTAATTTGAAAACATTAGCACGACATTTAATTATTAAACATTTTGATAATATCGAAAGGTAATACTGGGTTGGGGGTATTTAAAAACGGAATCTATTAAATATTATTTATTTCACATTTCAGTATACCAGTATATGGTCGCTGTCCAGATTGCCAAAAACCCTTTTCAAATATTATGGACTTCAATAGACATTCATGTAGTGATATAAAAAAGAAGCCGGGCTTAAGAAATTTTTGTCAAATGTGTAATTTACATTTTCAATCCTTGAAAAGGTTTGCATCATATTGCTCTATCTGGCCACATGTCTGTTTTTTATATTTCTGTTTCTGTTGCAGATTTGTTTTTCACATGCAATTCCATTTAAGCAAACATCGTCCGAAAGTTTGTATTCTCTGCAGTTCACTTTTCAATAATATAGACGAATTTTTTGAACATGTTAACTATAGCCATGGACCGGCAACAGCTATGGCTTGTCTAAAGTAAGTTCACATCAAAAGCGAGTTTCTTAAAAAATAAATACATTTATTTTTATTTTATGTTCTTTTTAGATGTGATCGCTTTTTTCAGGATAAAGATGTCTTTGAACAGCACATGTTTAGCCACGAAAATAAGTACATATTTGAATGTCCTCATTGCCCAAAGACATATACAAATCGCAGTAGCCTAACAAGTCATATGGTATGATTTTTATTTACTTATTAAATTACCTTTTAATTGCATTGTTTATTTCTTTGTAGGATATTTACCATAATCATCAAATGAAACCTTTACAATGTGATCATTGTTATAAGATATTCGTTAATCAAGCCAGCTATCGCAGTCACATAAAAGCCCATATGCCCGAGGCGAAAATAACAGCCTTTATATGTTTGGAATGTGGTTTGATGTCAAATAATGAGGAATTTATTCAGGCAAGTATAAAATGAAGTCGTTGTAAACGAGCTGAATCAAGACTCTCTTAAGCTAGGGAAAGACAAGCAAGTTTTAATAGTCGAGCGGAAGGTAGTCTTTAAAGACGAGCTGAAGGGAGTCTTTATAGACAGAGTGAAGGGAGTCTTTGTAGACGAGCTGAAGGGAGTGTTTATAGACGAGCTGAAGGGAGTCTTTATAGACGTGGGAAAGGGAGGCATTATAGACGAGGTGAGAGGAGTCTTTATAGGCGAGCTGAAGTGAGCCTTTATTGACGAGGTAAAGGGAGGCATTATAGACGAGGGAGTCTTTACAGATTGCAAGAAGCGAGTCCCTGCAAACGGTCTAAATGGAGTCTTTTCAGATGACCTGGAGGTAGGCTTTAGAGGCGTGCAAATGGAAGTAATTTCAGACGAATTAAAAGGAGTATTTATTGACGAGACGAATTGAAGGGAGTCTTTATATAGATGAAAGTGTCTTTAAAGTCGAGCTGAGTGAAGTAGTTTTAGTTGGGCTGAAGGAAATGTCTAGACGATTGAAGGAGTCCTTGGAGATGAACTAAAACAGTTCTTTCAGACGAACTGTAGGAGGAAGGGAACTGTAGCAGGAAGTAGGAAGGAAATTCATAGAAGAGCAAAAAGGAGTCTTCATTCACCAGTCAATTCCATTGTCACTTGTCAATTTCTTAAATGTGGTCTTCGGGCTTTGAAATTGTGAAATAAATAAATAAATATCTTTAGGGCTTTCTTAGGTGCCAAAACCTCTGATACACTTAATTTATTGAAATTTTTTGGGGTAAATTATTATTCGTAGAAGCTTCTTTTTTTAATTAAATATTTTATTTTTTAAAATATATATGTAAATTTTTCCCATATTTTCAGAATCACATTGATAATGAAGTTACGACGATCTCTCCGGATACTCCCGGTGAAATGCTTGAAAAAATTGTCTCTGTTGCCTACACCTGTGAATGTTGTTCATTGGATTACTTTTCACAGAAACATTTACAAAAACATCGTGGCTCTCCCAAGCATAATGATAATCTCTATTATTGTCCGATATGCCGTAAAACTTTCAAAACTTTAAAACATATGCGTAATCATATGACCAAACATAAAGATTATGATGAATGGTTGAATGAATTTCCAATAGCTAGATTTTATATGTGTAATATTGGTGATTGTATGGATGCCTATCCGCTTTGGTCATCTCTGTATTATCACAAAAAAAGGCATAAGAACAATGACACGTCGAACAAAAAATATCCATGTCAATTTTGTGAAAAAGTGTGTGAAACAAAAATGTCCTTGGCCGTGCACATTGCAAGGGTTCATAATAATAGTAAGTTAAAAAAGTAGTTAGCTATACATAATATTAATAAACATGTTTTTTGTAGATAACATTAAATGCCAACATTGCAAAAAATCCTATAAAAATGAAAAGGACCTAAAACACCATCTGGAACGTATGCATGTTACGATGCAATGCAGCAAATGTGACAAGGTGTTTAAAAATCAACGTAACTTAATTTCACACGAACAACTTGTCCACGAAAACATGAAACGTTATTTTTGCAGCCATTGTGAAAAGGGTTACTATTATCAGAGTGAACTGAAAGCTCATGAGAAAAATGTAAGTAGAAAATATGACGCTGACGGGGAAAAACCAACAACAAATCGATAAGCATTTTTGGTTTTTGGCCAACCTTTTGGCTTTCTTATCATAATTAGTTAATTACTAACAACATTTTATGACTTTATTGTGTTTTAATAATATTTATGTGCGTCGGAGCAATTGATTTGTTCTAGTCGTGTTATGGCATAAATGTGCAGCAGAATTATGACATAGTTTCTTACGTCCAATTGGAAGTTTGGCTCTTATACCGATATCCCATAATTTTACTGTATTGAGCTTCTTCAAATTAAAAAAAAATAAAAACAATTAAATCTTCGTTCATTACAGGTCCATCCGAATACCACCTACAAATGTGACCTGTGTAATTTTGTTACAACCTATCCAAAATCATTGGAAATTCACCATGTGGCCAAACATTCCGAAGATTTTCCATTTCATTGTGAACTTTGCGGCAAAGGATTTGCACGCAAACAATTGCTGGTCATGCATATGAAACGTCACAAAGATGACAAAGAGTATGTCGACAATCATTTATTTCCTATGCCATGCCATAATAATTACAACAATTATTTTGTATTTTTCCCCTTTCCTTCCCGCCAGTTTTATTTGCTATGAATATTGTGATGATGGTTGTACGGCATCATTTATTAATTATTATCTATTGAAGAAACACATTGAGGAGGAGCATTCCACGGAGGAAAATGCCGGAAATAAATTACAACCAAATAAAGCACAAAAACAAAAAGTTATTGAGACGATACGTAGTGTTAGCAGCGGCAAGTCCAGCACCCCCACCAGTCGGGCCAGAAAACGCAAACATCGAGAAATAGTTGTGGTTGAAAATAATAGTGGTGATGTGGAATTTATTCTGGATGATGAAGATGATATGATCAATCATGATGATGATGATGATGATGATGATGGTAATCCAGATGAAGATCCAGACGAAGAAATCCTAAATGAGTTGGAGGAAGAAATGCATATGGATTATGAGGAAATAAATGAATAAAATTAATTAGAGTTTAAGCAAAAATACTTTTTTATACATGAAATGTTGATATATATTTTATAAATATATTTGTATAACATTGTTACCACACTGTATTTGCTGTATATATTTTTATTCACTTCACCACACTGTGCTACATGGTATTATGTCTTTGTGCATATGTTTGTAACAGGCAAAAGGAAACGAGCTAGACACATAGATTCTTTTTAGAATATGCATAGAATCACTTTCTGAGTCAATTTGTGCATGTCCGTCCGTCTGTCCCTCTGTAGATGTTAAATTGTAAACAAAATACATATCGCATTTATGACTTGATTTGGATGAAATTTGAAACAAGTCACTTATTTGGCCCAAGAACGAACCCTATTTTCGTCCAATTTCAGGTAAATAGTGCACCAAAGTCCCTTTATATCCTTCGATTTGCACGAATGATGTGTGTTAAGTTTCGTGAAAATCGGTTCAGATAAAGATATAGCTCCCATATATATTTTCGTCCGATTTTATGTAAATGGTGCACCAAAAATATATATTTCGATTTGCACGAAACTTGGCATAGTATACTGAATTGAGTCAAGAATAACGTGTGTTAAGCTTCAAAAAAAATCCCGTATATATTTTCGTCCGATTTAAGGTACATTAGGCACCAAAGTCCCTATATATATTTCGATTTGCACGAAACTTGGCATATTATACTGAATTGAGTCTAGAATGAGGTGTGTTCCGATTTGCACGAATTTCTGCATAGCGTACTGAATTTATGATTTGTGCTAAGTTTCGTGAAAATCGGTTCAGATTTAGATATAGCTCCCATATATATTTTCGTCCAATTTAATGTGGTGAGGGTAATCATAACTTCAACTCGTCTATAAAGACTCCCCTCAGCTCGTCTATAAAGACTCCCTTCAGGTCGTCTATAAAGACTCCCTTCAGGTCGTCTATAAAGACTCGTTTATAAAGACTTCTCTCAGCTCGCCTATAAAGACTCCCTTCAGGTCGTCTATAAAGACTCCCTTCAGCTCGTTTATAAAGACTTCCCTCAGCTCGTTTATAAAGACTCCCTTCAGCTACAATTCATGAATTCCAAATAAAACAAACTATTTTTTAAAAAATGTCAATTAAAACTTTACTTTTATTTGTCTATATAAATGTTTATTATCTTTACACATTACATTTATTACAAAAATTCTAAATCTTTTAGCTCAAGATTAAAGTTTAAATCAAGACATTGAATAGAAAAAAAAATAACTATTTCGACGGAAATGTACACACGATATTAAGTACATTCTCATTTAACATTGACACTTATTTGTTGTGATTGTTGTTTACAAAACAAAACAGAAAATTAAAAACTTGAATATATTAAATATATTTATAATAAAAAAAGTACTATGTGAGCCTTTTTAAGTAATTAGTTACTAATTACAATAGAAAAGTCAAAACTTATGGATTATTCATCTAGTTGATTTTCAAAATACAAAAAATAAATATTTTGAAAATCATTTAACAGCGTCTTCTCCAAAAAATTAAATAACATCTATAAAGAAAAAGGTTAAGAGGGGAAGAAGGTACTGCCCTCGCTTTCACTCAAGACCTCTCCCTCTCTGTTGTTTTATTTGTCTTTGCCAGTTGTAGTTGTGTATGTGTGTGTGCACGCGGCATGTTTGTCAGTCAGCAGCAATTAGCTTTAGTTGACCTTTTTACTTTTCTTTGATTGTTTTTGTTTAAGCTTTTCTTGTTTTTTCAATTCCTTGGACATCAACGATTTGTATAATTTATAACCGAAGAGAGCTGTAATGAAAATAAAAAAATAAAATAAATTAGAGAGAATTCATATGTGTGTGCATAGAAGATAGAACAATAGCAGAATGATTTTTAATTGGTTTTTAAATTTTATGACACAGTCTTATAAAACAATAACGCAGCAACAACAACATCATCATCATCAAGAGTCATTGTCAATGAAATTAGAAGCAACAAGAAATCAATTATACTATGCACAGAAAAGGCAGCTTTACATCGAGCGGAACAAACTATGCAATCAGTGATTTTTTTTCGATCATGAGAAACTAAAACTCTTCTATATTCAGGACAACAAATACTTAATTAAAGATAAAGATTAAAGATGATAGTCTCTGACATGAAGAAGAATCGAATCAATCTGAAGGATATGCAAAGAGTGGAATTTTTCATTCAATAATATTTTGAAAAAAAAAAAATCGCAAATGCAATATTGAAAATTGTGGAAAACGATGTAAATAAATTTTTTTAGAGACATTTTATACCGAAACAAAGTCGAAAATAATTTTCCATCTAATCAAAACCCATAATACGAGGGCAGTTCGGAAAGTTCTTAGCCTAGCACAAAAAGCGCGGTATAAACAGAAAAAAGTTAAGTGTTTTGGAAACTTCCATCTCTGTTATGAACACATGTTAAATGTTATATAGAAACAGGTGTTCAAAAAAAGACGCATTCGCAATTTTTTACTATGGATAAATTAGAAATTCATGCATTCATTGTAAAAAATTGCGGATGCGTCTTTTTTGAACACCTGTTTCTATATGAAGGAGTTGCCACATCGAAAAGCAACATTTGACATGTGTTCATAACAGAGGACTCGGACTCGACCAAGGACTTTAGACTCGACCAAGGTTAGTTCAAAATATTACAATTTACGAGGAGACACATTGGTCAGTCTGGAGCTTAAGCTCGTATATAGAAATAGACTCCCTTTGACTTCAGCTAGGAAAGATCTACCGGTATTTAAATGGGGAAGGACCAATTTCCGGACTTATGGTGGAGATAACCACCACCCCCTGTTGATGTACGCCTCCTAATAGAGGAGCTGAGTAGCACTGGGGACCTTATCATCGGTTGTAAGGCCAATGCACATCACTTCCACTGGGGAAGTGAGAGTTGAGTCCATTTTTGATTTTTGTACTAAGTTATAATCTTAGAATATATAATAGGGGTAATACACCAACGACGTTCGTCAATAGATTGAGAGGTGAAGTCATCGACATAACCCTCACTAATATGGACAACTCTGGGGTTACTGGGAATGCTCCTTTTCGGAACATAGACTGACATTTTTCCAAAATTCCTACCTCCAGAGGTAAACAGAAGCCTTATAGGAATCCTCGGAAGACAAACAAACAAAACAAACAAACCTCCAGAGGTAAACAGAAGCCTTATAGGAATCCTCGGAAGACAAACTGGGGACAAATTCAAAGTCAAAACAGCAGCCTCAATCCTGTGTCATAAAAATTTCATAACGGTTGAGGATGTTGAGAAAACTCTTCTGAAGAGCTGGTATGTTAAAGGACATGAATCTCAGCCAGTATGGTGGTCCCAAAACCTTGCATCCTTGAGGAAAGCTGCAAGGAAAGCATATAGTAGAGGTAATAAGACAAAACTCAGTACAGATTGGGACGTTTATAAGAGCAGCCGTTCAATAGGTACAAGAGTGAAATCAAGAAGGCTAAACGTGAGTCTTGTTTTTGCTATAGTGATTCAACGAAGCGATCAGATTTCGAAGAGTAGTATCTAAAGATGCAAAATCTATAGGTAGTATTAAGCGAACAAGCATGTAATTTGGAATTTTGCGTTCTCATAGGATACGTCTTCTCACCAATAATTATCAAAATTAATCGTTTTATATTTTAGCCCCCATATTACGGTACCTCCCAAATTTGGGTATTTTGGGGAGTTTGGATACCTTCTTAATTCGAATTGGATGTAATTTTATATTTTGAATTCTCATTGGATGTAAAATCTTCTAAAATCTATAAAAAATTCCCAATATTGGTTCACTTTTTAGGTTAGCCACCATATAACGGTATATCCCAAATTTAGGTATTTTGGGGAGCTTGGACACATTTTTCATACGAATTGCATGTAATTTGATATTTTGAATTTTCATTGGATGTGAAATCTTACTGCCAAAAATTTTCATTATTGGTTCAATTTTTAGGTTAGCCACCATATAACGGTATCTCCTAAATTTAGGTATTTTGGGGAGCTTGGACACATTTTTAAACCAAATTCATTTGTAATTTGGTATTTTGATTTATCTTTGGATACCACATCTTTCCAACAAAATCAATCAATATTGGTCCACTTTTTAGGTTAACCACCATATAACGCTATCTCCCAAATTTAGGTATTTTGGGGAGTATGGACACGTTTCACAACCGAATTGGATGTAATTTGGTATTTCATTTCATTTAATTTATTTTTTTATTTTGAATTTTAATTGGGCGTTCATGGGCTCTTTCGTCGAAGAACGCCTCAAAGTTCCGATAAAGATGACATATGGGTTTGATTGAGCTATCAATTGCTAGATCTGTAGATTGAGGTGATCGTCTAGCTAATTCGTCTGCTTTTCCATCACGGGTCCTGGTACCCAACAGAGCCGATATGTGTAGATTTCAGCTTGGAAAACAATACAGTTGTAATCCAGCTTGTAGGTTAACTCAAGGTCTAGTTTTTCACAGTAAAGGTATCTTTATCGAAGCTATGTTTTTTAAACCCTTCGTACGATAACATACCAAAAATGTCAATAACTCACTATAATTCATCGAATTCTAATGAACCAAATATAATGTAATTAATTCATAATTCCAAAAAAATGTTGCACAGTGTTAAAAATTGTTTTTTCATGTTACACAGAGACAGATTGGCGCGAATTTTTGTACAAGGCTAAAACAAGCAACTAACCAACAAATCTACTAACAACCTGCAGTATTCTATTATTCACTTTTCACATTTGTTGTTGTTGTTTTTTTTTAGAAACCTACCAAATACAAACAGTATTGAGAATATAATTGCCGCATATATGGAATACGTGTAGACCTTCTCAAATTGAGCGTGTTGCATTAGTTTATTCTCCACGGTTTCGATTGTGGCACGAAATGTTTCTCTCATCTCCTCGATAAATTGTGTTTTCTCGGTGTTCGATAGTGTTTCCAAACGTTGTTGCAGACTATGGATACGTTCCATAAGATCATGGGCGAATTTACTTGAACCCGTTTTATCCATGATCGCTTTAACGGAACTTTTCAATTGTTCCACCAAATTATCTTCAACATTGTATGTGGTGGTGGGGGTTTCCATTTTATGTTGTTGTTGTTGGTTGTAGGCACAATAGAAAAAAGGCAGGTTGGTTGGTGGGTGGGTGGTTGGTTGGGTGGTGTAATGACACTTTTGTTTAATTTTTCCCTTGCTGTCAGTCACCTTGTTTTTATTTTTAATTTAATTTTGTATGCGGTTTGTTAAAATTTTCTTTTTCTTCAGCTTGTTCTGATTTTTTTTTAGTTATTTTTGAAACACTCCGCTAACCGTTTTCTTGTCTTACTTCAGAGCGACGTACTAAAAAGCTTATGACTGCAGGTTTCTTTGCTTGTTCTCACTCGCTCGCTCACTGAGCCAATATTCTTTTTCAAAACTACACACAACGCCAGCAGCAGCACAGCAAATTCAGACTAGCTTCGACTTGGTTGGTTGGGTATAAAATAGAGCTTTTCGTTCTCTTTAATCTTATCGTAGCTCTTTTGAGTTTGTAAGTTTATGTGTAAATGGTTAAATGAGAACGGCGGGATTTTCTGGCCCTTAGCAGGTAGTTGACGACAATAATACCGAGCTATGTTTTATAAAGTTCGAGTTCAATTCCAAAGATCTTTTTGTGTAAAACCCGACCGACAAAAATGAAATGACTATCTTAGCCTAAAGCTAACCGTGCACGACTGTTGTTAACGTTTTTTGTTTGTCTGTTGGTATTATTTTGGCCCCGTCCAATGTTCGTCCGTTATGCCTCTCTCCCGCGTTCTCCGTCGTTTGTGCCTAATGATGATAAAACAACACATCAAACAACAGAGCGCACAACAATTCGCTGTTAATTGCTGTGTAGAACACAGCAGACGACAAACACACACTACTAGAAGAAAGCAAGCAAACATGTTTACCTACATATAACAAATGTATATGTGTGTATCTGTGTGCTGGTCAGACATATCATGCCCACACACCACCACCATTCCAACATAGAGCAGAATATTCTGCTGCTCCCAACAAAATCATGGTGTTTGGGGTTGAAACCAGAAAATCTTCCGCTACCTCTTGGGGAGAACAAACGAAAACACTTTCCCATATCGCACGCATTCACTCACACACATACACACAGATTCTCAATACATACACAGAAGATACACGTAAAGAAATTTCTTGTGCGTTCTCCCGAGGCCATTGAAATGTTTCCAGACATTTTTACAGATAAAAAACAGCAACAACAACAATTTGACCATTGTGATTGGTGTCAACACCACACAACCACCAACCACATTTTTGGGTACATAGTTCATGTCTGTTTATGTTTTATTTTATTTTTTTTATTTGAGATCCGGTTTTGTTATCTCATGGAGTGCAGCTATTACGTGTCAAAACACAAGAACTAGGATAAATGACCATCATTCATAGAGGAAAATATAAAGGAATTAGGTCAAGGCTTTTAGGGAAACCGAGAGAAGGAATTGAAGTCATAGCCACAACCACATGGTTATGACTTCATATTGCAGCTGATAAGACAGTCACAACACAAACATCAGATACAAATTTTAGTTCGCATTGTGAGATAGTGGCCGCCGCCATTGATGAGCAATACTTTTTCTCATAATGTATAAAAGCAAGAGGTCTGCTTATAGAAGAGCAAGGGGAATTTTTATACACCCAATTGGTGTTCTCCTAGAATCCCAATGGGAGTTCTCATAAAAACCAATTCATAAAAGAAGGGGGTCAATACATCCAATTGGTGTTCTCCTAGAATCCCAAATAGGAGTTTTCATAAAAACCAGTTGATGTTCTTATAGAACCCATGTATAAAATATAAATGGACGCTCTCTTAGAAGTCCAATTGGAATTATTATAAAATACAAATTTGAGTTCTCAATAACATGCCAATTGGATTTCACATAGAAGATCAATTGGTATTCTTATAGAAGTGCAATTGGAGTTCTCATATAAGAATAATTGGTCCAATTAGAGTTCTCATTGAAGATCAACTGATGTTCCCATTGAATTCCAATAGGTGTTCTCATTGAATACCCATTGGTATTCTCAAAGAATAACAATTGGAGTTCTTATATAAATCCAATTAGAATTCTCATAGAAGAATAAGTTCTTATATTAACCCAATTGGAATAATCATAGAAGAGTTTTTATATAAAACCAATTGGAATTATCATAGAAGACCAATTGGAGTTTTTATTCTATGATAACCAATTGGAATTATCATATAAGACCAATTGGTGTTCTCATACATGAATAATTGGTCCAATCGGAGTTCTTATAGGACACCAATTGGTGTTCTCATTTAATTCCAATTGGTGTTCTCATTGAATACAAGTTGATATTCTTATAGAAGACCAATTTATGTTCTCATAAAAGACCAATTGGAGTTCTTATAGAAGTCCAACTGGAGTTGTTCTCATGAAATACCAATTGATGTTCTCATAGAAAAATAATTGGTCCAATTGGAGTTCTCATAGAATACCAAGTGGTGTTCTCATAGAAGACCAATTGGTGTTCTCATAGAAGACCAATTGGTGTTCTCATAGAAGACCAATTGGTGTTCTCATAGAAGACCAATTGGTGTTCTCATAGAAGACCAATTGGTGTTCTCATAGAAGACCAATTGGTGTTCTCATAGAAGACCAATTGGTGTTCTCATAGAAGACCAATTGGTGTTCTCATAGAAGAAAAATTGGTGTTCTCATAGAAGACCCATTGATGTTCTCATAGAAGACCAATTCGTATTCATATAGAAGGCCAATTGGAGTTCTTATAAAAGTCCTATTGGAGTGCTTATAGAAGACCAATTGGAGTTCTTATAGAAGATCAATTGGTCCAATTGGTGTTTTCATTGAGGAGCAACTTCCCATTGAATACCAAATGGTGTTCTTATAAAAGATCAATAGTGTTTTCCTAGAAAACCAATTGGAGTTCTCACAGAAGACTAATTGGTGTTGTCATAGAAGGCCAATGGTATTCATATAGAAGTCCAATTGGAGTTCTTATAAAAGACCAAGTAGTCCAATTGGTGTTTTTATGTTCTGATCCCATTAAATACCAATCGGAATTATCATAGAAGACCAATTGGTGTTCTTATGAATACCAATTGGAGTTTTCCTAGGAAACCAATTGGTTTTCAAAAAGAAGACAAATTAGTGTTCTTTTGAAAACACCAATTGCACCAATTATTCTTCTATGAGAATTCCAATTAGTCTTCTACGAGACCATACCATTTGTCTTCTTGTGTATTTTGGAATAACTAATAATTCTCTTCTACAGAATATTAATCTACTGAAAAAAACGAACTAAAACAACAAAATAATAAATTATTCAATTCTTACCAAAAATAGCAATGATTATGGCAAGCATTGTAAAGAAGATAATATAATCCCATGACGTATGACCCATATCCGGTTGGGCATAACGTTTCATAAAATCTTCAGCGGTGCCCTCTTGTGGATTATAGAGATTTTCACGAATGCTGGCACGTTCCTCATCGCTGATGCCGTCCATTTGTTCAATCAATTTCCAGACTTCATCGACACTGGGCAATTTTCCCATATTACCATTGAGATCACCCAAATTGCCACCTGCAGCAAAGCTACCATCATCCTGGGTAGCAGCCAAAACATCTTCGGCAAATTGTTGTTGATTAATTGGATCCTCAGCCATTTTCGGTAATTCTTGATGCTGTGCAGATAGTTGAGTTGAGGTTGTAACACGAACAGAAAAATCGTGACAAATTATTTTACAGCTGATGGATGAATGTGGTTTTTATTTTCCAAAGAGAAATTTTTGTTTTTGTTTTGAAAAAGAATTTACAAAATTGGCTT